AAGTGACAATGCCATTTGGCTTTCGAAATTTACCCATGAATAAGTAAGTGAAATTTATTTTTTTTTTTAAACTAAAAGGTAAGTTGTCTAATTAAATATGAGTGTCGAAGTTAATTGTATCGAGATTTTATAACATCTTTCTTTTATAATTAGTATTTCATCACCAATATGGTCTCGAATGATTTTTCAACAACAACAACAATTGCATTCATCATTAGATTCTACACAACAGACTATATCAGATATTTCTAATACTGATTCATCACTTGGTAGGATTCGAAATTAAATAGAAAAAAAGACTGAAATTTTCGTATTATTTAGATGTAACAAATGAAGAAATTCTATGCGAAACCGCTTCGTTTATTTTACTTGAATCAATTCGATGGTTATATTTAGTACCATCATTTAAAAATCTCAATGAATCTGATCAGTTTTCATTAATCGAACAATCTTGGTCAATACTATTTGTATTAACATCAGCTGAAATGAAAAAATTTCTTGATCAAAGTAAATTATTAAAATCTACTATTTTTCTTATAATTCAGTTTTTTTTATTCTAGATGAAAATGATTCGTTTAACGATGAAAATCAATATTTATTATTTCAATCAGCTATTAAAGATCTAATTTTACATTCAATTGATTCAACTGAATATGCATTACTTAAATTAATGGTTGTTTTTAATACTCGTAAGTTTTTTTCTTTACCTTATTAAGCAAAACTTTTTTTTTGTATTTTAGCGATGAATAAAGAATTACACGATCGTCATTCGATTGATAAATATAAAAACGATGCTTTATTTATGTTAACTGATTATACAAGAAATTTTAAATATCGACGATCAGCAGAACTTTTGATGTTATTAACAAATATTCAGGAAACAATGTCAACTATTCATTTAGATAAAATTTTCTTTCGACATTTGATTAATCGTATATCGATGAAAAATTTATTACAAAATATCATACGTCATCTTACAACATTTCTCCGATAGAAAAATAGGAAACCATGAACAAAAAAACTTGTAAATTTTGTATGCATAGAAATATTTTTTTTTAAAAATGAAATCAAATATGTCTCATTTATTTTTACTTATGAAATAAATTCTCGTGTAATGTAGTTTTTTACGAATTGTCAACTATTAATATGAACGAGAATAACAATATTGAATCTTGTTTTTCAGGGTGTGGTCGTATCATGTTTATATAGTCCATACCCATATTTGATTGATGTTTTATTTTTCTTCCAGACATTACTTTATACGTTTTGTTTACAAAATTTGATGAATTTCATTATTCAGTCATCTTTTTTTGTTTATCGAGAAATACCTCGGTATTAATTTATTTGAATAAGATGAAAAGAAATTTGTTTATTTGTCATCTTGCACTGTTTGAAATCAGAAGCCTACTTGTATTACAAAAAATACGTACTTTTTTCAATAATTTATTTCTATATTGTAATTTAATAACAAAAAAATATAGAGCTTATTTTTCATAAATTATATATATGTCAGTAGAAAAATCAATTTCTGCATATTTATAGAGAAATTACAGATACGTTAAAACCATGATGATTCTGCTAATACTAATTTTTATAAATTCTGTCGATTGTGCTCATTTTCGTGGAGGAATGATCAGTTGGCGACCAGCAACTAATAATATATCTGTATTAAATACAAAACAAACGATTATTATTGATCAACGATATGCATGGAGCAGAAGTGCTGCAGATAGTGGCTGTACAACTACAACAATTACATCACATGGATTAATTGGAGAGAGTGCTGTATCTGTTCTGAAATGCGAATCATCTGCAACTATATGTACAAGTGTACATTATACCACTGATATTAGTACTTACGAACCCTGTACTGATTTTAATACCGCTCTGGGTATGTCTTTTGGTCACAGTTCGACCGCTGTTAATTTAACTGTTAGATCAACAGGTGTTGTTATTGGATATGTTGTCGCTAATGCATGGCTTGTCCTACAATCAGGTGGTGGAAGTTGGAGTTTGATGACATATATAAACATGCAACCACGTTCAGATAATCAATTAATCAATAGTTCACCTACCTCGGATATACCATCAGTAGTCTATGTACCAGCTTCTTCCACTCTAGCAACTGCAATTGATATTCCAATGAGTGATGCCGATGGAGATGATATTCAATGTCGATTTGCAAAATCTTCGAGTTTATTAGGTAGCACTACCGTTAACGAATGTGCTGGCGTTTGTGCATCAACAGCATTACCTTCATCAACACAATTAATATCTGCTAATAATACATGTACACTTATTGTTACTTTGCCTCATACTGGTTATTATGCAGTAGCAATTCAAATAGAAGATTATGATCAAAATACATCAACAATACTTAGTTCAGTTCCATTACAATTTCTTATACTTACATATGATAATTCAAATCCAGTATCGAGTTGCACATCTATACCTATTATAACAAGTATTCCACCTGATTTACCAGCACCTGGTGATACAATTACAATACAAGTCGGTGTTCTTTATACTGCAATGGTCATTGCAAAAACCGGTTGTTTAAATGATACAGATACAAGTATTACAAATTTTATAACATCAAGTCCACCTGGAATGTTAAAATCATATCCTCCATTTTATTTATCATCATCATCATCTTATGCTATTAACCTAACATGGACACCAACAACTGATCAACTTGGTCAAACATTTGTATTTTGTGCTGTAGCAATTGATATTAATTATCTTTCATCAGATCAATACTGTTTTAATATATTAGTTGGTCCTAAAACAACAACGACAACAACAACTTCAACTACATCATCTACAACAGCCACAACATCCACAACATCCACAACATCAACTACTTCAACTACAACAACAAGTACAACTTCAGCTACAACAACATCAACAACATCTACCACTTCTACTACAACTACTAGTATTTTATAGGATTTTATTTATATACTATTTTTTTTCGTTTTATTTATTTTAGCAATAACGACTACACCCCATGATTATAATCCATTAATATTTGGATTAGGTCTTGGACTTGGATTGCCCTTATTGCTCTTACTTGGTCTTCTAGGTTTATGTTGCTTATTACGATATTGTTCGGGTTCTTTGAAGTATGTTTTTTTCATATAAGAATTTAGCTAGATATTTAATATTAGATCATTAACTCAACGTCGTTTGAATCGTGACGAAAATACATATTGTCCACTTTGTCGACGATCTGTCGCTTTTGAGGATCCTCAAAAGCAGATGGAATTAAAATGTACAACTCCTGAAGGTACACGTCGATATCGACAATTATATTTAAATAATAATGAAGATAAGGCATTATATGATTATCGAAAACAATATGTTAAAACTGATCCTGAACGACCACCCATTCGACCCTTAACATCACTATCAGAACGAGAATGTTTTCCATTAACTCCGTCATTTTTTTCAAACTCAACATCCACTTTACTTGGATCACAACTAACAACAGTAACTTCATTACATTCACCATCAATAATCAGTCTTCCTACAGTGAATATTTCAAATAAAGTAACTCCAACTCTTTCACAATCAAATCATCATCGTTCATTATTAGTACACGCTTATACAACGCAATCTCAAGTTTAATGAATATCACGTGAACTATATTAACATAAATATTAATATTTTTCTTGTTGTAATGTATGTTTTGATTGAATTGTCAACATTAATTAAAAACATACAACTTTCTTTATTATGATTATTTTTTTTATGAAGACCTACTACTTTGAACTTATAGCTTTTCTCACAATATTTCTCATTTTATAATAATACGAAATTCTATTTTATTCAACAACGTAAAATATACGTTTATATTGAGTTGCAACTTGAGAATAGATTATAGGTCATAAATCTAGTTTTGCTCATATATATTTCTATACCTGGAGAAACATGCATATTGATTAGTTATTCCAATCTTATTCTTATTGTAGTCAATAATAAAAGTAAAGTTATATGGTATCGATAATAACACAATAAAGAACTTTTCTCATTTGTTTTGTATAGTTGAGTAAATAAACTTATATAAATATCAACGAAAGAACGGCCGATACTTCATTTTGATCACTTGGAAAAATTTTAACTCTCATCTTTTCCGTGCAGATAGGATAAGATATAGTACCAAAAAAATTACTTGAAAACATGGTGTGTACTTTATTTTGCAAATGTATATATAATAAAATATACGATAGTAGGTGTTTTTTATGAAGTACTACAGGCAAAATATAACAAATCATGCGTATCAATTAAAATATGTATGTTTATCGATGTACACTAACGAAGGATATGACGCATAAGAACGGATATAGTATGACATTACTTCAATCGAAACCACAACACATCATTATAAATCAATAGATAGTACAAAACGAGATTAAATGTTTGTACCCGAGTTGGTAAAAAAGTATCCCAAATTACCTTGTTATGATTCATGATAAGGAAAAATTATTTATTTTCAATATATAGATGTATCGTTATAGGAAGACTACCGTTTTCTATTGACTTTTTATGTGACTGAAATGAGGTTAATACTTGTCTTTTTAATATAACAAATCAGCAAGATAATAGTTTTTATAGTAAATCTACGAATATATAATTATATAGAACAGTCTGAGAAAACTACTGCATATGAAAGTCATATCTTGATTCTTCAATACATATTCTCAAAACTTAATGCTTAATTGTAGTTAGATTACAGTGATGTTTTGATTTCTAGAATATTCATACTATTATTATATAATAGAATTATAGAGTGAACATGACATAGTTTGCATTTTGATATAAAAATTTTCGTCATTGCAGCATTATTTGTTTATTGTGTTTAAAAACGAAGACTTAAAAATAAAAATATTCTAACATTATAGGAGAACATTAGTTCTCCTCAGTAAGAAAAAATTGTTTATATAAAGCCAAATAAATTTCCTGAGTATCGTTTATGTTTGATATTAATATTGAATTGGTCATCGCCAATGCGATGTTGTCCAACTAGAAGTATATTCAATCGGAGGATAATAGTAATATCCTGTTGAATAATTTTCTTGCCTTCTGTCTTGATAACGATGCCAAGCGAACTTAGTTAATTCAATTCCGGCTTTTCCTGCTAAACCGAACATCACAGGTCCAAATGCAAGTGCCACACCCGTTGCTGTTACTGCCGTTGCTGTTACTGCCGTTCCTGTAATAAATACCATTTTTGTGAATAATAATATTGTTCGAATAATACGAAAATAAAATGTTTCTGTTAGAATGCAAATGCATATTGAGATACAAGTTTATATACTCGCGAATGCACTTGGCAATTCCCAACTAAGCCATAGGAAGTGGATTGATACAGTCAATATCATACACTCTATTGTAACCGTCCTTAGTCATTCACGAAATGTGGCTTTTTCCCATTTTTCCACGTCACTTTGCGATATTATCAATCAAATGACAACCCAGGTAGAAGTACTATTTGCAATCCTCTTTAGACACTACGTAAACAGAATGACAAAACAGTAATTGCACAATTTTTGTTGGGTGTCATTTATTTCTTATTTATTACCTTTTTATGTTTTTTCATAAAATGAGACAGATATTAATTATCACCCATAGCAAATTCATTTGATGTTCTTCTGTTGGAGTTAAAGTTTTCATTGTAAAAACTGTGTAAGATCGGTATATTGCTTGTTGTTTTTGTTTCTTATGATTGATAATGATCAATTGAAGATCTAGAATTCTAAGAAAAACAAAATATATAAAATTAACATATTCGTTATATCTACTCTATATTTAGTTGATTTCATAGATATATTGAATTGAATCTCGTGTTTATATTATTATCAGATGCAGTAATTTATGAAGACTATCGTTCTCTATTGAGTTTTTATATGAATAAAATCAAGTTAATACTTCTTTCTCTTTTTAATATAACAAATCAGCAAAGTAATAATTTTTACAATCTAAATCTATGAGTATATGATTGTACAGAACAGTCTGAGAAAACTACTGCATATAATAATCATATATTGATTATTCAACATTTATTCTGAAAGCCTAATTTCAACACTAGAAAAATCTTGAGAACTACAATAAATAGTAAAACAAAACACGTTAATATTAGATATCTAATATAGGAATGAATTTAAAAAAACTCTTTATTTATAGCCAATTAAATTTCATAGTTATCGTTTATGTTCGATATTAATATTGAATTGGTCATCATCTATGCGATGTTGTCCAAGTAGAAGTATATTCAATCGGAGGATAATAGTAATATCCTGCTGAATAATTTTCTTGCCTCCTGTCTTGATAACGATGCCAAGCGAACTTAGTTAATCCAATCCCGGCTCTTCCTGCTAAACCGGCTATCACTGGTCCAAATGCAAGTGCCACTGCTGCTGCCGTTCCCGCCGTTGCTGTAGAAATTAACATTTTTGTGAATAACAATATTGTTTGATTAATACCAAAATATAATGTTTGCTAGACTGTAAATGCATAATATTAAAGCAAAGTTTTATATATTCACACATACACCTGGTAATTCCCAACCAAATTTCAGGAAGTTGACTAATACAGTCAATATGATACGCAGTATTGTAGTCATGCTTAGTCACCCACTAAATATAGCTTTTTGCAATATTTACCACCTCACTTTCCGATATTATCAATGCAATGAAAATCTAGACAGAAATACCAGATGGAATATCTTTTCAATACTACATAAATAGAATGACAAAACAAGAAATGTATCATTTTGCGTTAGATGTCATTTATTTTCCTTATATTATTTTTATTTATTGGGATTTATTAGATTTTCATAAAATAATACATAATCTCGTTAATATTCCTTTGATTTTATGTTGGAATAATTGACTCAGACATCATATAATTCATTTACTATTAGAACATAATTGAACAACAAGCATATACATGTGATAATAATAAACCCGCTTTTCAACGATATTTAAGCAAAAAACAAGCATTATAAGTATCATCAATCTAAATTAAGATCAACTTAGTTGTTTCGTAAAGTGTAGGTTTCGAAATATTAAATTCATTATATATCAATTCGATGTATAGCGAGTGGTGAACTATGAAAATAATTAATCAGTTCAATCTGGTTCGATATTTTTGATAAAATATATTCATTTCGTATGAAATACAACGAATGAACGAAAAAAAAATTGTGTAATTAAAATTACGTATAGTTTCATTTATCATGATGCTTGTCAATATGTAACACATATTTCATATTCGAATAGTGGATATAAATCTTGATATTATCAAAAATTTTGATGGATGAACTGCACGGAAATATTCATTTGTATAGATACAGATTTCTTTGATGATATTTATCAATAGTTATATCAAACATGAACTAATGAGAATCTATACCATTCGTATCAAATAACTCAACATTGAATTACTTTTATTATGAGTTATAATAGTCCAATTATCACCTCTCTTCTACTTGCTACTTTAGTTAAAATTTGCACTACAATATGCTCTAATAAAAATTAAAATCTAGATAAATTCTAGCATTTAATCAAATATTAACAGTCACATTATTCAGGTAGATAAATATTGTCTTATACTGACAACCATTGTGTTAATAACAATAATAACAATAATTTTAAATTTATTATTATCACAACCTTTGACGTCGAGTAGAAAATCTGTCAAAACTATAGAGAATTGATTTGATAAATCCGAAAAACAGATTAGACGGTTCTTCTGTATTATCGATCTCGACATTAACGTTACCAAATTGATAAGCATAACATATATGACACATGCAAAATTTTCAAACAAAAAATATTACTTTAGTTCGTGTTAAACCTATTGGTTAAGAATACTTTTTTCGATTAATACCAACAAATATATCATGTTTTATATTTTGTATTTTTGTCAAGTACATACTCGAATAACTGTTTTACTTAATACAATGTATGTGACTCAATTTCATGCTTGCATTCATTTAATTCCAGATCTATTCTTTGTTTTATTTCTATCCTCAATAGTCAGGAATTTCATGTTTTGTGATAAAATCATCCCATGAGATGTAAAATTGTCGTTTATTATTTCTATTCTATGTTCAAGAAATAAAAGAAAGCAGATGTTATAACATCAATCAATCTTAGCTACACCCTCTAATTACAAATAAGTTATTAATATTAATTTGTCATAGTCCTATTCGATGAATTTATATCGTTTTCAATTCAGACGACAATAATAAGAAGGAAAAAAAAGCAAAAACGAATTGTTATTCGAGTTTATACTGAATACAAAGCAATAAACAAAACAAAACATTATATAATTATGCATAAAGCAAAAGATTTTCTTTTTCCTCTCTTGTTGAGTAATAAAAACGAAAAAGAAAAAACGAAATGTGATATATTGAATGAAGCAAAAAAGAATGAACAAAACAGAATATTTTTTTTTCCTTTCACAAAAAGCAATCACAGGCAATACAACAATGATCATAAGTACTTAACCTATAGAGGTGAGATTTCGAATATGATGAAAAGAAAGAAGAAAGAGAAGTATAAATAAATCATTCTATTGTTTTTTTGTTTTGTTTTCGTATATTTATCCCATACTGCCGGGCATTTGTGTATTAGATGGTTGATGCATGCCTGACGGACCAATATTTGAGAAATTATTTTGTTGTGGTTGTTGTTGAGCTGTACGACTTTTAAAGAATTTTGTTTCTTTATAAACAAACCAAATACAACTAGCCCAAAGAAAAAAATTTAAAAAGCCAAATATAACTGATACAATTACATTGGCATAAGTTCCAGCTAAAAATAATAATAACAATAATAAAAATATTATATTTTAAAATATAAAAATAACTCACATGAACCACTTGGACAATTTGAATTAGGAGAACAATCTTGTAAAAGTTTGGCTGCATTGCTCCATGAAGTTTGTGAACGAATATTTGATACACCTTGCGCCCATGCTGAACTACCAGCAATCCAAAAAATTGTCCAGATTACTGTGATAAATAAATCAACTATAGGAAAACGTTCATCATTACGATATTGACGATCCATAATAACATAAAGTATTGCGAATGCAAAAGATAATAACATTGATGTAACACCAGTAAAAACAAAAAATTCTGCTGATGATTTAATATCATTTGAACTTGATAAACTTTGTCCAGAATCGGTATTATTTGTATATGAGATTGGGGTATTTTTTAAATTATAAGGATAAGACCAATCAGCTGTTGCTAATTGTTGGCCACTAGTATTATTAATATATAATGAAGAACTACCATTGCATGCCGTAGCAAAAGCAAATATAGCAAAAATAAATTGAAGCAGCCGAATAAGGCCACGAGGCTCTAAAAAACAATAACAAATTTTTTATTGATTTTTTTAGCATGTCTTAATAGATTTAAAATTTAATGATTGTTTGAAAAGAAAAATTCTGATGAATGTCATAAAATAGACATTAAATCATATTAGAAGATTTCCATGTTATCATAAACGTCGTTTTCTATTATTTACAAAAAATAATTATTAAATAAAATTTAACATACCTTTAAATATTCCGAAGTAAGCTGTCATTGTATTTACTGAAATCTTTGATTGCAATGAATCCATTTAAAACATGATGTTGAATAATTGGTTATCTAGATAGACAAAAAAAAACGCAGATTTTTTTATGTCATCTACAGATACAAGAAAAAGAAAAAAAACTATTCTTATAGCTTTTCCTTGTTCTTTCTTTTCTCAGTGGCTATGTAAATGATATATCACTAGTACTATAGATTATCATAGTTGCACATATCTATCACGAAGACGTGGAAGTATTTCTTCTATGGTATATACCTTCATCTTGATTGTATATGTTGACGACAATGATATTCTGTTCGATGTTTGAATGAATGAAAGGCACTGACTATTTTTTTTTCTTCTTTTTTCCTCTCTTTCTCTCTCTCTCTTTCTCTCTTTCCCTCTCGCTTTTTATTCTATGACTCAGCAATGCAGGTGTATAAAACAAGAAAAATTTCTCCTCAACTCTCTCTTCATCAAATATTTGCCGATGGCATCGACCAAAAATACAGATGCAAGAACAAGAAAAGTAATAGCAAGAAAAAAGAAGACCATGAAATGAAACGGCGGCATTACCATTTCTTCAACATATAAAAGTTCTTTTTCTCAGTTAGAAAGAAAGAAAGAAACAAATAGAGACT